TGTAACATTATTACTCTCTCCGCTAGACGTGTACGTTGTTTCTTACTATCACTTACACCAGTAGGTGGGTTGTGTGTAACATTATCACTCACCCCGCTAGACGTGTACGTTGTGTCACACTATCACTTACTCCAGTAGGCGGGCTGTGTGTAACATTATCACTCATCACGCTAGACGTGTACGTTGTGTCACACTATCACTNTGCACCTCGCTGCTACAACTGCGGCGTTAATAATTTTCGATATTGAGCTTATCATAAAACACAATATCTTTGCTTTATAATCATTGTATTATATAGATCACTACAAAAATCAGGAACACACTATTGACATGTACAATTTATGATATAAATTGATGAAATGAATAATCCGGTTATCTTTCAGGAGTTTAAGAAGATGGAAATTCATCGGAATACATTGTATTACCTTTTTATAGTAGCTATGCTTCCTGCATTTTATAAATGCACTACAAATGCACCAACTCCGAAATACAGCCACCTCGGTGAGTAAAATTGTTCAGGTATGAATAATACCTTCTATATCTGAGGACATACACTTGTAGGAATTCTTGTTCAAATTATTTTATAAAAACATATGTTAACGTCCGCATTATTACAGAACATAGTGTGTTTATTTACGGCTGTTGGTAATACTCTTCATTGTCTAGTAGTATATGCATTACTCGCATTATTTTTAGGTTCAAGTTCGGGAAAAAAACACTTCCACGGAATATGATCTATCTAAACATGAAAATAAATCATTATTCCTTGGAAAATGATCACAATTTATCATATCAAAAATATTAATTAAAACATTAAAGATCCGAAATGGCTAATACTGTATCATTGATTTGCGCAAAACATGTTTCTATCTGATGCTCCACAGTAATTCAATTGTCTTTCCATTTAAACTGTATGCTTTTTTTACTATATTCATTTTTTCCTTTGCCGATCAGGAGATTTATTTTTGCTATTTTGTTCACAGCTTGTCACGGAAACGGACAAATCACATTAACAGTCAAGGACCCAGTACAATCAGTTGTTTCAAATTGCACTAGTGGATCGCATTCCGTCACGGTATCACAATCTAACAAAACTGTAACCATCGACAACTGCCCACTGGTAAGTTTAAGATTTTGAACATACATACACACGTTTACGTGAAGAGGTACCCATTCGGAATAGGTATTTGGTTGTATAAATTGACTTTATGACCCATTCATCAGTATCAAGGAATTATATATTTACTGCGGTACACACTTTATTCCTTACTGCCAGTATTCACAATTTATTCTTATTTAATATCGATTATAATAAATAACATAAAGGATGTAGATCTATATGATAGGACAAATAACATAAAAAATGATTTCTGGTTTATTACAGAACTCGGAAGTGACGATTTTGATGTTAGAAGACACGATACCTAACGGGGTGGATGCAGAAATAGATTCTAGAAGAGTTGGCGAAGCTATTGCTGTAATGTGCAATGGCACTGGTCTCCAAGTGAATACATCGAACATTAAGTAAGATGTCCACGTAGCAAACTATCAAAGGACTATGTTAATGAAGAACCAATGCTAGCTATTAGAGAGGAAAAATCAGATGATAACATTAACAGAGTAGAAATTAAACCCGAACGGGGGACATACATTTTTGAATTATTACTACAAAAACAGTCTTAATCAGATACATTTGATAGCATTTTATGCTTGAATGTATGAAATTAATTACCACAATAAACACTATTCTAAGAGAAAAGAAAGAAGCCCATTTAATCAAAATATTGAAACTGGGTCTTAACAGCCCACAGTAAAATTGTCTGTTAGTTTGTCAACTAACCTTGTGTACAGTGTGAAGTCCCGTTACTATTGTAGTGTTATTACATGTAATTGTGATGTCACAGTGTAGTCCTTTTCAAATAAATCTGAAGAACCCTGTCAAGGGTGAAAGCAGTTAGTTTTCTATGAGGTCGTTAAAATAATATTTTGCTATATAAATAAATAATAAAAAAACGAATAAATGTCTATCAGAAGTAGGACAGTATAGGAGAAATAGGATTTGACAACCCACTTCAAATATAGCTGCTTTCACCCTATACAGGGCTCTTCAAGCAACATTTGACTGTGGCCTGTTGAGACCAGGTTGTACTATTTTGATTATATGGACTTTTTTCTTTTCTCTAAGAACAGTTTCGGGTGAATATCATTGATATAAAGTTAAGGCATTAAACTTATCTCCGGCACATTCCTTAATATGTTCATTTACATGCGAATTTCGTAAAGACTCAGTATAAGTTTATTGTCTTTTTATGTACAGTCTGAGGTGCCTGAGTTCATTAATATTTTGACAAATGTAAAAATTACCGCATTTAGAACAAACGATTGCGTACATGATATTTTTTATTTACAATTTTATTAGCCTTACTATTATAAACATATATATATATGTAAATCCATTCACAAAATTCATGTCTTCTCATTGATAGTGCTCCTGTAACTTTTAAACCGGTTAGTGTTCCTTATCATGAGACATTGACAATGACCCTTCTTGCTATCGACGACATCACCAAACAAAGTCCGGTGGATACAATAACGGTTGGGGGTAGTTATACATTACAAATCAACGCAAGTAAGTAGCTAAAGACTAATACATATTCAAACATATTTACAATTTAACAAATTGCCATGGTTATATATATTGATATATATTCACTCAATCATAAATATTGACGATCGTATG